CGCGCAGAGGGTGCGTCGGCGACGTAGAAAATTCGCGCGGCGCCACAGCGAGGGCGCTCCGACACGCACGATCCCCGCAGAGGGTTCGTCGGCGAGATGGAAAGTTTTCGCGGCGCCACAGCGAGATCGCTCCGACACGCACAATCCCCGCAGAGGGTTCGTCGGCGAGTGTGCAAATTCGCACGGCGCCACAGCGAGAGCGCTCCGACACGCACGATCCCCACAGAGGGTTCGTCGGCGACGCGCACGATCCCCGCAGAGGGTTCGTCGGCCAGCTTTGAAATTCGCACGGCGCCACAGCGAGAGCGCTCCGACACGCACGATCCCCGCAGAGGGTTCGTCGGCCAGCTTTGAAATTCGCACGGCGCCGCAGCGAGGGCGCTCCGACACGCACGATCCCCGCAGGGTTGAGGGTTCGTCGGCGAGCGTGCAAATTCGCACGGCGCCACAGCGAGAGCGCTCCGACACGCACGATCCCCGCAGAGGGTTCGTCGGCGACGCGCACGATCCCCGCAGAGGGTTCGTCGGCCAGCTTTGAAATTCGCACGGCGCCACAGCGAGAGCGATCCGACACGATCCCCGCAGAGGGTTCGTCGGCCAGCTTTGAAATTCGCACGGCGCCGCAGCGAGGGCGCTCCGACACGCACGATCCCCGCAGGGTTGAGGGTTCGTCGGCGAGCGTGCAAATTCGCACGGCGCCACAGCGAGAGCGCTCCGACACGCACGATCCCCGCAGAGGGTTCGTCGGCGACGCGCACGATCCCCGCAGAGGGTTCGTCGGTCAGCTTTGAAATTCGCACGGCGCCACAGCGAGAGCGATCCGACACGATCGCCGCAGAGGGTTCGTCGGCGAGCACGGCGCCACAGCGAGGGCGCTCCGACACGTACGATCCCCGCAGAGGGTTCATCCCGCCAGCGCCCGCCAGACCCGCCCCCGGCTTTGAAAGAAGATAGAATTAAACGCTGCGAGCTTCGGCTGGGTAAGCTAGGCTGGTTAAGTCAGGCTGCATAAGCTAGGCTGCGTAAGTCAGGGTGCGTGAGCTAGGCTGCGTAACTCAGGCTGCGTAAGTCAGGCTGCGTAAGTCAGACTGCGTAAGTCAGGCTGCGTCAGTCAGGCTGCGTAAGTCAGGCTGCGTAAGGCAGGCTGCGTAAGTCAGGCTGCGTAAGCTAGGCTGCGTAAGTCAGGGTGCGTGAGCTAGGCTGCGTAACTCAGGCTGCGTAAGTCAGGCTGCGTAAGTCAGACTGCGTCAGTCAGGCTGCGTCAGTCAGGCTGCGTAAGTCAGTCTGCGTAAGGCAGGCTGCGTAAGTCAGGCTGCGTAAGTCAGGCTGCGTAAGTCAGGCTGCTTAAGTCAGGCTGTGTAGTCGGCAACCGTTTTTTCCAAAGAACCCTTCGTGATGCTTTCGGGAAAAAGGTTATCAAATTGAAATATTTACTTGCTCAAATATATGATTGATTTGAATAGATGTACTGATGATGTGTGGAAAATGCAAAAATGTTAGGGATGCTTTCAAAAACGCGAATTTGATGAAAGATATTTGATAAATATATAGCTTTTTTCATAGTATTTTATACGTTCATTGTTTTTACAATTGAAATATCAAATACATCTGTTTTGTTTTTTCTAAAAATAAAATAATCCTATTTGAAAAACATACTTGATGTATATTGCAATGAAAGAGCCCAGCGTGTGGCTGCGCTCGGCATGCTTCACAAGGAACTGCCAAGCACACGAGTTGTTCTACCCACCTGGGGCTTCAAGAATACGTCAGGCTGCGCTTTCTTTTGTGAATAGTGGTTGGTTTTGGAGTTGTGAAGTTCCGCCGCTAGAAAAATGGTTCTGGTCCCCTTGAGTAGGGCATTTTGGAGTTGCCAGCTGTTGAGGGTTTTATTGGCCCCTTTAATCATGATAACCCAAGTTGTGCTCCAATAGAATTTTCCGCATCGAAAATCAACGACACGTAAGCCAACGCGACCTTCGCGGGAAGGCTTTTGGAATTCTTGACGCGCACACTTGCGATATAAAACACCTGAAGCAACTAGCCCTCTTAATTCGAGGATCACCTACAACCAAGCGGCGCTTAAAGTGTAAGAGACAGCCTCGATCGATATGTAGGCATCCCATGTGTGATGGCCAGTGTTCAGTCCCGGTTCTGTCGGGTTCCGGAAGCTTGCGAATCAACTCCCATGTCTGTGTGAGGCAGCTGATCACTTGAGCCACCGGACCCCAGCCAATAGTCTTCTTATGGGAGGCAACTTGTTTTACTTGCCCAAAGCCGGCCTTCGAGCTTTGAAAAAGAAAGGAAGCATGTTATTTGTGGGGTTGTTGGCAGCAGGGGAAGTTTGGGGGAGGCTGCGAGCAGCACGTTGCCCTACAACTCTGTGACGCATTCTATTGAATTCTATTGCAACAAGTGGTGTGTGTGTGTGTGCGTGTCCAGATGAGGGTGGAGGGCGCAGACGCAGGACATCCATGTTTGCAGACGCTAAGGAGTTGAGACTACAAGCCAGTGCCACGCAGTGGACAGAAGTCCGCCTCACTGAGTGCTGAGCTGCCGCAGCTTCAAGGAAGGAAACGAGCCCCACTGGCAACAGCAGTCCAGTTCAAACAGATGAGTGCCGATGCGGTGCGGGACGTTTGCTCTCTCGCCGGGACTGCCCAAGCTGCTTGCGGGGGCGCCGTGCGCGCGTTTCGGTGGCTGGCCACGTCGTCACAGGTTTGCGAGGAGCCACGCTGGCTTTGCGGGCTTAAGCGGCATGTCTTATGCTATAAGTATCAGCTTGCTGCAGATGCGTTCTGCGCTAGTCACCATCACGCGTCAGCGTTTAGCAAGGGTGGGTTTGTCAGCCTGTCTTTGTTGCGAAGCAGACCATCATTGAATTGACAGGTGATCTTGGAATAGCCTCGAGCATTGAAAAAGCTCAACCACTAATTAGCCTGGGTGCAACGGCTTGCGCTTGAGGGGTGAAGGCGTGGCCAGCCATTTGGCGAGGCGCAATGACCCAAGCTGAGTTAGACCTTGGTGAGGGTGCGAGGGGGTTTAAACTCACGAGTGGCCCTCAGAATGCAGTGCACAACCAATAAAAAATTGACTTGCAAGTATTGAGCAAAGCACTCCCTTGCCACTGCCCTATCCCCCCCCTTACTTCGCAGGAGCTAATGAGCAGCGTTGGGCTGAGCAAAGCCCAAGTCGAACAACTGAGCGCGGCATTTTAGATGGCTTGCTGGCAGCGGCAGAGAGGGATTCCCTCTCCCGGCTTGCCTGCTTAGTTTTTTAACCTGGAGGATTCGGAAGACCGTCAGGTTCTAACAAACGGGTTCCAATCGAACCTGTACTTGTTAGAACCCTTGAATGGGCCACTTTTAGGGTTGGAGGGGAGTCTGTGGAGCTTCGCGGATTTGTGTCCCTTTCATTCTTCTCTTGTGGCCGCAGTAGTAACCGGGATAGAAATGTAGTGTGCGAAACCAAGTGGACGTTCACATGCTGCTGTTGTGCTCATCGCATGAGTGGCCTGAAGAACATCAGTAGGTTCACTGACTGTGATACAAGCCTCGGACACCGACGGATGGAAACGTGGTTAGGAGGCGCTGATACCATGTGAGTGGTCAAGCGAGTGGGACCATTTGTAAAACAAAACAACACGTGGCCAAAGACATGACATGATTGCCCGGAAACATCACTCATGCAAGGAGCACGCGTAATTCCGCACACCCACAAAGGGCGCGGGCAAATTCGGCGGCGAAATGCGATTGTTTGCCTCGCAAGGCTGCGAGGCAAAAGGCGGCGCCTAGAGCAGCAATCGGCTGTGTAGTTTCATTGCTGGATTTGGGCATGTCTCTGTGAGGCCACCGTTTTCGGGGCTGCTTCAAGGGATCCAAAATTGCCAGCCGTTGGAAGGTTGTTTGCGACCCTTCTTGTTTTTTCAGGGCTTTGAGCATGGATGTTTTGCAACAATCATGTAGTCTTCCAAAAAGAGCCTAAGCACTTTGATGTTGGTTGACGGGAGGGGAAGTTAGAGCAACTTGAACTTGCAACCCCCCATCCAGCAGGCTGTCCAGGGTGCAACGTTACGTGCGCCTGCAAGTCAGTTGTTCAAAGTCGACCTTTTGCAATTTTGGTCCATGTTTAGTCAAGGTCCCCAAAAGGTTCCCTTATTTTCTTTTCAGGTCGCTTGGGAAGGACCCGAGCCAAAGGAACGCCTCAAGCAACCAGCGCTGGATTACTCCATTCCCCCCACGGCGGGGGGAATGGGCGCCGCGGTGCCCTTTGGTCAAGCAAAGCCTGCAGGGAGGTGACGCTCCCTTTCCCCATTTCGCGCTTTCCTACGCACAACGGGCTCCCCGAATCCCCGGTAAAAAGAAAACCGCGGGATCCATCTCTCGAAATCTAGGGTTCTGGGTTCGCAGCGAGTAACAGCGCGCAGGGCGGCACGCAAGTGGCGGGCTTGTCGGCACCTTAGGCCTCGAGTTCGGTGGAGGAGCCCCTCTTCGGATAGTGAAGAAAGACGGGTCCCTAACTTGAACACCGGCAAGTACGGATGTCTCGAGAGACCTAGCCAAGGGGCTCAACAAAAGTGACTTCTAGCTTTCGAGGGGAGGCTTGAGAGCTCTCACCCCCCCACCCGTCTGCTACAAGACATCTGGGCTCGTGTCCAAAAGGTGAACGCTAAAAATGAAACCAACCCACGCAAAAAAAGAAAGAAAAACACGAGCACGCCAATTCTATTCTCTGTGTGGGCTCCATGTTGGAGGGCATTTGCCTTCACTGCAGTAGCTCCACCTGGTGCACAGTGAGGGTGCAGACGTCAGACGTTGACAAGGGAGCTGCTTTGGTCATGCTCGCACCAGGTGTGACCTGTGGCATGCCTTCCGGAAGCACGTCTTAAGAACCTGATGCTTCCTTTTGCTGGAGAATGTGTTTTAATTGTTTTCCCCTGTTTGGTTTTGAGGGACCGAAGCTGACGAAGCTGGACGAAGCAACGCAACTGGGCGATTGGCCGCAGCCTCCTTTGGCTCCCGGAGCCACTGAACCGATCTCTAACCCGGAGCACAAGGGCGAGCGAGCGGAGGCCCGGAGCGCCATGCTCCGGCCCTTGCTTTGGCTCCCATGGCTCCCATGGCTCGTCACGGGCTTCGACGAGACACAGCTGCTGCAGAGGGTCGCCAGCGCGTCGAGCGCGGCTCGGGGCTGCAGCAGCCCGCTGGTGAAGTACGCCATGCCCAAAGCACCCAAGGAGCTTCGTAGCTCGGCCTGGTACTCGCCTTGACCCACGAACTAACCCGGCAGTAACAGTGTGATTTGGGTTGTAACCTGTCAGAGACAAACGAAAGGTCCAACCTTGGATTGGAAGGTCTTCAATGGGTTCATCCTTGTTTGCATGCCCTGTCTTTCTCTGACGGAACAGGCTGCTTTTGTTCGGTCAGATTCTCTCCCCTCTCTTGGCGGTTGGGGTTGCTGCTTTGGTCCCGGCGCCTTAACCTACTTGGTTCAACTCCAACCCCAGGCCGAACCATCCAATTTAGTGTCAGCTTTTGACTTTGGACGGCCTGACCCCTAAGATCCTTTCCTTAAGCCAAGAAAGGGGCTTGCCACGACGTCCGGACCGAGTGCCCGGCAGTCCTGAACCTTCATGAAGATGTTGTATTTCCCCCGGGTTCAAAGGGAAGCGACTGTACTGCGGGTTTTTTGACTCCTTTTCCAGGGGACGAAGAAGCAAATGGAAGAGACAGACACCTCCTGTGACACCTCTCGACTCCCCTTCTCATCAAAAATGGAATCAATCGGTCCCAGTGCTTCTTCTAAGAGGTCACTGGTTGCAGGGAGTTTCCCGGATATGCCCAGCAATCTCAAAGTGCCCGCAACTGGACGGAAGCTGCGCGAGAGCTTTCTTTTAAACTGCTGCGGTGCGTCACGCGGAGTCAATTAGGTGAGCTCGGAGTGCTTGCGCGCAAGCAAAGAACAACACACGCACGGAGAGGAGCCGGTCTTACTCTTTGTGCGGTCTTCAAATAGACCACGCCAATCTCCACAGACTTGGGGAGCCGCAGAAATTCAAAACACTCAGCACTTGTGCTTTCTGTTTGTGCGGATTTCTGCGCAAGAATCAGGCGCCAACCAGACCAAGTCTTCCGTGATATCTATATGTGATGCAAGATTGTCTATTGTCGCCCTACTGTCCTCTCCCTCTCTCTCTCTCTCTCTCTGTCTCTCTGCAACGTGCAATCGATCTTACAGGAAGAACCCCTCGCAATCGTTCGCAGTGCTCACACAAACCACGCAGAAAAAGGAGAAGGGGACGAGGCCGTGCTTTCTTTTGCCCCAAACCTCCAAAACCCAGAGATGAGTTGCTGAGGCAACCTCCGCTGGGTGCACTTTCCAAAGGCGCGAGATGAATGAAAAGTCGAGGCAGAGAGGCAGAGCCCTTTTTGTATGAAGCAGCCCCTTTTCGGGGGATCCACAGAAACGGGTTCCTGTTTGTTTTCCTTTTTGTCCATGGCAGAAAAATAGTCTCCCCTATTTGGTGTGTGTGTGTGTGTGTTTTTTGGTGGAAATCCAACTTGCCTGGGATGTGGGGGTTGATCAGCACACTCCCTCAGACTGACATGGAAGCTGCCAGAAGGCCTCTGCAAATGGAACCAAGTCTTCAAAACTTGACTGCTATCGGGTTGGATCTTTAGACTTTATCTTTTTGGTGGAAATATAGGTGGGTTTTCCACTAAACCCCCAAATAGAAAAATGCAGGGGGGTCAACAGCAACCAAGTGTTTCGGGGGGATCCACACAGGGGTTCCAGTTTGTTTTCCTTTTTGTCCATGGCAGAGGGGAAAACACATGTCGACTGATTTTTTTTGTGTGTGTGTGTGTGTGTTTCCCTCGTGGAAGGCCCGTATCTTTGTCAGTCCACCAGGCTTAGATCCCGTGCTTGCGAGGGCCCCCCCCCAAAGAGGGAACCCCCCAGAAAAGGAAGCCTTTTTCATTCCTAATCAGCCTCTTACTGCCCTTCCTGTACCTAAGATGATTTTCCTTTTTGAAGGGACCCCTCTCAGTTGCCATGTCAGTGGGAGGGAGGGTAGTCGATGCTTCCCCCCAAAGAGGGACCCCCCTCAAAAGAATGGAAGCCTCTTTCATTCCCAATAAGCCTCTTATTCCTCGTTTCGTTTGCCCCTGGGATTGGGGGGCCCCCTACTCGGGGGCCCCAGGGCAACCTTAGCTAGGTCCCCCAGCAGTTCCCTTTTACCCACTTCTTTGGGGGAGGGGTATAGAAAAAAGGTTGGTACACTTTATTCTAAGCTCTACTTTTTGGGACCTAGAACTTATAGCTTGACCCTTTTACCTTAAGGTCCGAGGCCACGAGCCTCAGGCAACCCCCCAGAGCGTTTCGGAGGGCTGGGTCTGGTTCGACCCCGGGGCAACCATAGCATTGTTGAAGGCAGAATCATCCTTCCAGGGTTTGCTAGGCTTTTCAGTAGTGCCCTTTCACCCTTTGAAATAAACTGCAGAAAAAAAAGTGGGTACCCTAATTCTAAGCCCTCTGGACCTAGGATTCTCGAAGGCCTTTTTGGCCCAGGCGGGCTGGAGCTTTGTCACCACCCTGTGGCAGTTCGCCTGCGGCCAGCGGGACGTCCTGGACCTCAGCCAGACCACCTTCAACCACAGCGAGTGGCCGAAGCTACCCTATAAGGCGGAGAAAAGACGCCGAAACCCGAGCCTCGTTGTCCTTTGTCTTGTTTTTTTGTTTCCCTTTCTTTTTTTTCTCCCGAGGGGGCGCGAGCAACGCGAAGCGTTTACAATTTGCATGCTTGTTTGCTTGTTTGTTTTCTAGGACTTAACAAGGGCTTATGAACAAAAAGGAAACTTGTGGTGCCACCTTTTTTGTTTGGCGGGAGGGGGGGGGAACATCTAGGGGGGGACATGGGGCATACATGATTATAATCTCCGTGCAAGAATTCCCGAAAGGCCAACAGCATGGGCGCTCGCTTCTTGAAACCTCAGCTCCAAATCTTCGCGTGCAAAACTCCTCCCCCCTCCCTTCCATTGCTGTCCCTGCGCGCCTGGTTGCCAGCTCACCCCCTGATTAAACAAATTCTATTTGCTCAAGCCCTGGAACAATGGGAACATATGTCCAGTAGTGATAGATTCCATCTCTAAGATCTAGAAAAGGGAAAACATGAAAATCCCAATGTCAGCAAATGGAAGTGTGGCCTGTTCGCTTCAGCTGCCCCTTAGGGACCTGGGAAGAATTGTTGGTAACCTTTTGGAACCTGGACTATGGACCAAATCAGCTTTCTGCCAAAGGCCAAATTCGCTGTGGACGAGTGAGCACTGTGAACAAATGGGACTGTCGGCCTCCAGGAAAAAAAACACCCACAAGCCCCCCCCCCCTAAAAACAAAAAACAAAAACAAATATTTCCTCCCCCCCCCCCCCCAAAAGATATATCGCCGCTGTCCAGCCATCAGCGATGGCTTACAGGGGCCTCGCTTAGGATATCCTGTGATATCCTCAGTGGCCGGGCACGGCGGGATTTGGGGGAGGTGCCTGTGGATTTTGGCTGCTTGCTGTTGAAGCTTGCTTTTTGCAAGAGAGGCTGAAGCAAGTCGAAGGTTTCGTTTTGCGACCGTCCGTGAAGGCAGCCGCTTCACGGCAATTTCATGCACGGAGGGTGGCGGGTGGCTCGAGCCGCCTTGGATACGGCGGATTTACCCTCCCACCTACCTTGGGACCTGATGTTTCGGGGGGTGGTAAAGGGACCATTTGCCTTTTGAAGGGACCATTTTTCTATTTTAGTTTTTCAGGTCCAGATTGGGTTTTCCAAAAACCCTGCAGGACGAGGTTGAATTATTCTGGCCGGACAGGATTATAATGCACCGCTACCCTAGGGGCAGGTACTGCAACGACGAGGTCTTCGGCCACCAGAATGTGCAGACGCTGCACAGTCCAGTGAGCCTCAAAGAAATGGACCAGCGCAAGTGGCAAGTCATTGCCATGTTTCGGAAGCCTAGTCAACGGCTCCTCTCCGCCTTTTACTACAACGGTATGTTTGCTCCTGGTATTGGGCCTCGATTGGCGGAGCTTCACGAGAAATGCGACAGGCCTGCCTGCTTCGCGCGCTTTCCCGGCATTGCGGGCTGTTACGCGCGCATGCTGACCAATTCGACCTGTGCAGAGCAGGATGAGGATAGTTTCGATTCTGGCAAAGCACGGCTGCCGGAGGCACTGCAGGTGCTGCACGCGATGTCCTTCGTGGGTCTGTCGGAGAAGTGGGATCTGTCCATTTGCCTCTTCCATCGCATGTTTGGCGGCAAGGTCAACATTGGGCAGTTGCAAGACTTACACAAGGGTCCAGCGCACGAGGAGAGCTACAACGAGTCTTTGTTAGAAGGTTTCGAAGATGAGGCAAGGTTCGATTTTCTTCAATTAAACATCACCCCCCCCCAAAGAAAAACAAAAGCAGTGGCCCCTTCAAAGAGTTTGTCTAGATTTGCTCTTCAACTTGGTGGCTCCCAGCCATCCCCTTAGATTTTTAGCCTTTTAGTGTTTAGTGGGGGTTTCCATTTGGCCCACCAAAAGTTGTTCACTTTTAGCGGGGGATCTGAGGACAGCTCAGTTAAATTTGGCCACCAAAAGCTTCCCCAGAATTAGCTCCCCTTTTTGCTTTTTTGCTTTTTTTGGGGTCCCTTGCTTCTCCACTCACCAGGCAAACAAATAAATAAATACATATATATATATATATATATTTGCTGGGGTCCTAATTCCAGCCTAGAAAGGTGGTGTAAAGAACGCCACATCGAACGCTTCGGAGGTGGACGAAGCCATCTACCGCGCCGCGGTTGAGAAGTTCCAGGGGCTGCTGCGGGAGTACGTGGGCGACGACGCGGACAGAGAGTTGTTGGAAGCGCTGGAGGGCCTTTGGTTCTCTTCGTCCGGATCTCATCTTGTGGCAAGCATTTTTCAGTCACCCCAAAAGTCAAGTGGCAAGTGTTGTGCCTTCAATCAACCCCAGTGATTAAATCGGCGGGTAGTTTTGGCCCGTCCAAAAGTGGTCCGATTCCCCGACATTTCACCCAGCGAGTAGTACCCCCTATTAATAAACTGGTTGGTTAATTCAACATGATGGTTGTTGTTGGGAAACTTTTTACATGTTTGCTTCTTGTGGTTTAGTGGTTGAAATCCAACCACTGAACTGCTAAAATCTAATTGTTTGCTCCCCTTCCAAGGTCAACCAAGCTTTGGCCCTCTAAAAGCCGTCCGGATCCGATCTTCCAGGTGGCAAGTGAGCTTAAGCTACGTACCAATGTGGGCTTGCACATTGGATGTTGCGCGAACGGTTGGCTTCTTTGTGTCCACCAATTTTGATCCATGCCAACCTGGAGCAAAACATATCATGGGGAAGGGAGCCCAAAGAATAAGGCCCCTTTTTTAGGGGGCTCCCTTCCTCCCCCCAACCATAACCCCCCATGAAACATTAGAAAAACAAACGGGAGACCTCCCTCCCTCCCTCCCTCCCTCCCCTCCCTCCCTCCCTCCCTCCCTCCCTCCCTCCTCCCTCCCTCCCTCCCTCCCTCCCTCCCTCTTTCCTCCCTCCCTCCCTCCTCCCCTCCCTCCCTCCCTCCCTCCCTCCCTCCCTCCCTCCCTCCCTCCTCCCTCCCTCCCTCCCTCCCTCCCTCCCTCCCTCCCTGCCTCTCCCTTCCTCCCTCCCTTCCTCCCTCCCTCCCTCCCTCCCTCCCCCAACCCCCATGAAACACTAAAAAAAGAAGACAAAAGAGGAAAAACGGAGACCTCCCTCCCCCGGGAGGAGACGGCCTGCGGGGAGATCCTGAACCCGCCCTCGGAGACCTGCTCCTGCGCCAAGGTGGGCCGGGAGTGCGGCTTCGATCCAGGCATCGGCCTGGACTGTGGCTCGGGCCAAGAAAAGCCCCGTAGCTCCAGATGTCCGTGTGTTTTTTTGTGTCTGCGTAGACTTCTTTTTTTTTCCGAACTCCCGGTTTGGACTGTGGAATGGGTTTTCCAACCCCACCCCAATTTTTTCAAGGGTATGTCTGTGTATTCATCAGGGCTCCTTAAAAGATCTCCATTTTGCAACCATTTGAGACATGTGGCTTTTTCAACAGCAGAATAAAGAAATGGAAACCACCATTGACAAGTTGCAATGTTCAGGTGCTTTTCATGTAAGGATCCCTGATCAAGGTCCCCACAGGTTTTTGGCCTTCTATTTGGCCCGATTCTTTTGGGGCGTGAGGCGGTGAGTGCCCTCGCGCGCGCCTGAGGGTGCTAGGCCTGGATCCTGATGAAACGGCCCTGGAATGCAGTGCCGAGGGCAGGTGCATCATCGAAGAAGAAGAAGAAGGCCTCTTCCAGTGGTGATCTTCGAAGCTTCGCAGCTCCGTCCCTTTCTGACAAGCCCTTGCCAGCCTCTTGCCTCTTGCCTGGCCTGTGAGGCCTTTTTCAAGGACGCTTTCCAAGGCGTGACACCAAAAAAAAAACCAGCAACTTAGCGGCCGAAAAATGCCGCGCGAAGCGTGGTAGGGCATTATGGCGGCAAGGCATACGCCAAGCTTGATCACTTTGGGAAATGATGTGTGTGTGTGTGGGTGGGTGTGGGTGTGGGTGTGGGTGTGGGTGTGGGTGTGGGTGTGGGTGTGGGTGTGGGTGTGTGCGCGCGCGCGCGCGTGTGTGTGTGTGTGTGTGTGTGTGTGTGTGTGTGTGTGTGTGTGTGTTTTTGGTGGAGACCTCCCCACAAAATGGCGGGGTGTCCACTTGGCTTCCCTCAAAAGCCGCAAAAGCAGGCACGCCACCTCCAAAAAAACATACTCAAACGCGCGGCTGCATGCAAATTCATTTTCACTGCATTCTCATCGTCTGTCTTTGTTGTCCGTGGCCTGCCTTGAGTGGCTGTCACGCAGCATTCATGCAGACACCCAAAACCATGGCTCTCACATGTTGGCCCCATGTTTTTCGGCCATCATCAAAGTCCCTCTAAGTGGTAGGGTGGAGGGGAAGAACCCTATTTCTGACTTTGCCAACCTCACAGAAACTGTCAAAACAATATGCCCCCCACTTTGCTTGAACTGCCGTTCCAGAGTTGCATTTTAATGGCTCATCTTATGTTTTGGTTGGTGGTTTGGGGTTCCCTTTTTGTAGCCAAATGCGCTTTCGCTCTTTCAAACCTCCAAAGTAGCCACCAATGGATGGATAAGGTGAGGTGTGTGTAGGACCAAAAGCAGCAACGTCGCGGGCATTGTTGGAATTCAGCCCTTTTCTCAAGCCCGTCTTGACCAGCTGACGGCAACAGCTCGCGCGCTGTTTCTGGATGCCGTGGGCCGAGGCTGGATGAAGTTGACATTGACGACCTGGAGGATGCAGGCAGGACTCTTCAATTGCTCACTTGTTCAAAGCGAGTCGAGGCTTTTTTAGCCTTTGGCAGAAACCTGTTTTGGTACATATTGTTGGGAAACATTTTTCATTTTTACTTATTGTGGTTTAGTGGTTGAACTCCCTACTTAACTGCTGATTTAAAAAAATGCTCCCCTTCCAACGTCAACCAAGCATAGTCAAGGTTCCGACAGGTTCACCTTATTCCGCTCCCCCTATTAATGAATGACCCCAATTAATAAAAAAATGGGAATCCGGGGCCCGGGACCAGATTTCCACTCCGCACAATTGATTTTCCATTGCGCCAATACTAAACCAATATTAAAGGCTTGGAATCCTTATTGGGGGGCACTTTTAACAAGCTTCCAGCCCCACTTTTGAAAAAGTGGGTTCCTCAAAAGATGGTTCCTCAAAAGAAAACATGCCCCCAAAAAGCTGTCTAGCTGCGACTGTCTCTCTCCCGTACATGCTGGCTAATTAACCTGCCTGGCTGCAAACAAACAACCAGTAAAAACAAATATAATGATACATCAAATTTCCTTATTAAACCGCTTACTCGCGGACCTTACAATTCAATCCATTTCCTCCAAATCCTATGTGAACCCTCACATTGTTGGAAAAGCAAGAAACCAACCCCAACAACCTCGATTTTTTTTTAATAATAGGGGGGGTATTTATTAATAGGGGGAAGAGATTACCTTTTATGTCCAGGTCCCTCAGGCCCTAAGGGGCCAACTGAGATGGTGCGCTTCGTCCATCCGTATCCAACTCAGGGCAATGAGTCAGAACAAATAGCCTGGCCCTGACTCCCTGTGTCTTCAAGGCGACACCCCTTCAAAAAGAAAGACCGGTATTCCTTTGGCCCTTTTAGGCCAACCCCACGGGTTTCCTCAAAGACTTGCTGACAGGGAATGAGGAAATGACCCCTGCAACGATTTTGTATGGTTTCCTCTAAGAGGATTTCGTAGGTTCATTCTCAACACCCGGAACGGGTCATGCCCCACCCATCGCACCAGCAAGAAGAGACAGACCAAGACCTAAACCTGCCCCTTTCGGCTTGCGAGGCGAAAACCCATTCGACAGGGACGTGCCCTGGTTCTCACTCTGGCCGGTGCCACGGCAAGGAAAATTCCGGTCTTTTGGGGATCAAGGGGGCGGGGTGCTTGGAAGGGCAGACAATTTCTTGGAGTCCATTGCCATTTAGGTGGAGGTTTATGTCCACCCGGCCACCCGCCAATCTTACCTCCATACCTGTGGTAACCAATGGATTCACCACCTCTAAAACATCAAGAGGGAAAAGCAATGTTGTGTAGAACCACAGGAAGACGCTGGTAGGGAAGCAGGGAAGCCACATCAAAATTCACTGGATGACATGGGCCATTTTTCACACCTGGGAACGTAAGAAGCAGACTTGGACAGCTTAGTAAAAGGCTCCCGGGCTCGGACGAAGCGAAGGGTGCCATGAGTTTTTTTTCTTCTGCACATGAGCCCCCAAACCTTAGTTCTGATGCTTGCCGTTTTGACGCTTTTTCTCAACTGGCGGCTGCTTTCATGATTTGATTCGAGTTCCCGCGCTCGCGCGATCTTTTTTCCCCCCGCCCCCCCCCGCCCCCGCCCCCTTGCTTTCCAGAGAAGCTGCAGCTTGATTTTCTCGGATTTATTTCTCGGCGCTCAGGTGCCAGAATACTGTTTCACCAGCGCCTTCTCCTCCTTCTGCTTTGCATCGCTCTACATCAGGCGGGTCTCGATCCGGATCGCAGGGGTCTTGGTGAGCCGAAGGACCCCGGGAGATGAACAAAGAGAGACAGCGATAGCTTGCATCCCGGGGTCTGCTCCTCTCAAACTCATTGGAGTGTCTCCAAGACGCTCGCAACATCAGCTTTTGGATTTTGGGCCATTGGGGGGTTCAGCTCCCCAAATCCGGAGGTTCAGCTCCCCAAGTCTGGATCAAGTGATCTGCCCAGGCCAGAAGTGGTCAGCAGCCTGGGAGAGGTGTGTCAGGCGGCTGGAAGCGGACCTAAAAGGGGCGGAGGGGCTCCCCAAAAGGAGCGTCCTGTACAAAGTGTTCTGATCTTTTGTGCTCCGTGTTCAACTGTACAGGGTAGTAGGGAACCTCAAAAGTGGGTGGCGTGGACGGTGACATGAACCCCCAGTTCCGATGTCCATAAAGGGTTCCTCATTCAAATTCATGCCCCGTTCCCAACACAATCTATGTCCAAGGATGCCCGCTGCCAAATGAGGTCATTGGGTGATATGGTGCGATTTTCATGTGCCTTCCAAGAGCTAGCGTGAAACCCAACCCAACATCTGGGTTTTGGCCTCTTAAACGCGCTCGATCGAACGTCACATGGTTGTGGGCAATGTTGACCGCGGGACTTCAAGGGAGCCTCTGTAAAGCGGCAAAGTAAGGATGAACCACTTTGGTATCATAGCTATTTCCCAGCCCCCGGCTTGCAAATCAAATCGGGTCTGTCTTGAACTTGGGGACCCCAAATATGTGGTGTTCCGTTTGGCTTGCTCTAAAAACCAGCCAACTGTTCAAGGCGCGTCGGCCCCAAACCACCCACAAAGGACATCAAATCCTCAGCAGGGATCCCTTTCATGCCCTTGTACGGGTTTCCAACAAGAGAGGCACCGCCAAATGGCTGTGGGTCAAAATCAATGGTACCATTATGGGGTAGGTGAATTCACCACCCATTTTAGAACCTATTTTAGTGGTTGGATTCAATCGGATGTTCACTGGGGGCACGATTTGGATTTTGTCCCATGGCCAAATGGATCTGTGCAGGAGAATCTGGACCTCTTGGGCTCCTGTATCTTCGCCAACCGATTCACCCGGCCCGGCGCCAAGATCGATTCCCGGCCCCGAAGGCAATTTATCCGGTTGTGGGGATGTTGTTTTTTTCTTTGTGAGGGCACCTGTTCTTGCGGTTTTTACGGACCGCCAAAAGGAAACCACCTATTTTTTGGGTTCCCCCTTTGAAAAACGACACACCTGTTTGGTTTCGTTTGTTCCTAGCATGCAACGGCCATTGTCCTTCTGCTTCGGTTGGATCCAGGAGGAAGTGTCCTGTTTGTATCGGTTGGCTTCGAAGATTCCAAAAGCTTCTTTGAAGGCAGGTTGTGTTCAGCATGCAAAGGCAAGCTTGAAGTTTGTCTTGGATGGTTCTCAACTTCGAAAGGCAACTGACTTGCCGCTCTTGGTTCCAAAGACTCAGAACTGTTTTTTGTTTGTTTGCCTGGGTGGGTTCCGTACATGCCGCGGATGGACAAAATGCTGCACCATTGGTAGGTGGGTCATCTCAGTCCTCGCCTTTCATCCATCCCAACTGGTGCATGGTCCGCAGGCGGTGTTGCAACCATTTGTTTTGGCTCGCTCCTCACACCATTTGTTTTGAAACCATCTGATTAGGTTGGTTCCTCACACCATCCTTGTTTCTTGGCATTTGTTGCAACCATGTGATTTGCAGATCCATCCACGTCTCCTTCCCCTCCCGCATTGAAGTGCACAACTCCCCCTTTCCAAGAGGAAAGTGGTCCTTTCTGCAGAAACCTGTGCCCTTCTTCGATCTTAGTCGCTGGAGAAAATCATGGTTGTTGTTGGGAAACATTTTCCATTTTTGCTTATTGTGGTTTAGTGGTTGAAATCCCCACTAGACTTCTAAAAAATAATTTTGTTGCTCCCCTTCCAACGTCAACTAAACCCTTTCCAAGAGGTCCGCACGCACAAACCCATGGAATCGGGAGGGTCCTGGGCCCGAAGCTGCCGCGCGATCGAGGCTCCTGAAGCAGGAGCAGTTCCGAACGCTGCAGCGCTCCGCCCGGGCCCCGCGCGCGCGAAAACACCGGCAGCGGCGAAAGTGGCGGGTGGTGGGAAGCGGGGGGATGCTTTTTTGGTGTTCTCTGTGGTGGGTTTGCGTTCAAAGAAAGGAGGGCGATTCCTGGTTTAGATGCGGTTTATTCCATTTACCAGGGAAACCAATCTATTTTTCCAAGAAGCCACCTATGGGAGGATGGGTCTGGGGAAAAAAGGGCGACGCTATTCACATTCCGTTTGTGTTTGTCCTTGGGAAGGTGGTCCATTTTCAAGGCAGATGGTCTTCCAGGACCCTCTGAAATTGGTGGGGGGGGATAAAGAACATATGGTCTATCTAGCACCCGGCATGGTATGCGGGTCGGGCGGCCGTGTTTCGCTTCTTCGGGAAA